CATACATTAGTAAAGAATAACTTTACTCCCAATAAGCATCATCACAGTATATATACAACTATCAGTAACTTTTGACATCCTAGTGGCATGTATACACTTTTTAACTCAAAACAAACCCGGTTTAGTCCTAGAATCGGCTAAACCTATAGCTCTGATGCATATAAATGTAACATCCATAACCCGTATAATTATACCTATACAGATTATAGATGTTATTCGAATTTCTAAAACCATTTTACAATTCAAAAGTGATTTAAAATTTATTTTCTTAAAATAGTAAATGATATTATAAAAATATCATATCATATAAAATTTCGTTTCGTTATAAAAATTTAATTCAAAATATTTTTATTTATGAATAATGAATAGTGAACAGTGGGGGAATTGATTCCCTGTAGCAGGGGAATCGGTACCCCTTTTTCATACTGGAAATTTTTGCTTAAAATGGGGTCACTGTTCATGCTACACTAACTTTCGAAAATTTCATATAAATCTCATAAAAATTAACCTTTCATCACTATAACAATTTCCAAAATTTATTCAACAAAATAAATTTAACATTATCAAATTACATGCCACTATCTAAATCAAAATCCATCGTAGGATGTCTTACTGATATTTAAATATACCTCTTGATGTTTGCTGTCGTTCTGAACTCTTTATTTTTATTCTTTGCTTTTTACCTACGCGTGAAAATCATCACACGCAAAGTATAAACTGAGTGAGGCAATTAAAACATTTAACAATGCAATACAAATCATGCATGATTTTCAATATCAAAAATCAAATTTCCATAAAATCATTTTACTAACATATACAATATTTTACCATGATCAAAATAATATAAAATCTCTTACCATTTATCCCATAAGCTCGTAAGCTTATTTTACCAAAATACTTACCATTTAAAATTCCATAAGCTCGTAAGCTTATTTTTCCAATATACTTGCCATTATTCCGTAAGCTCATAAGCTTATTTGCATGGTTACCATTTATTAACCAATAAAACATAATCCATAGCCAATAGCCCATATTAAACCTTGAGGACCCTGGGTATACGAGTAAAATACCTACACCGTAGTGCTAAACCTGCACTAAGCTTACGCCATAGTGCTAATCCGGACAATACACATAAGGTCGTGCCCACCACCTACATTAAGCTTTCGCTATAGTGCTAATCCGGACATAAACCTGCACTTAGTGTCCTTACACACTATAGTGCTAATATAAACCTGCAGCTGCTATACTCTATGGCATGCCAACTATACCCTGTCCCTCAATGACTTACTTTGGGCATATAGTCTATTTTATTCGATCCATCCATGGCAAAGTATATCATCAATATTTAACATTGGATAGTTCATACCCGAAAACATTCATGGTAAAATATCACATTTTTCATGATCAATGCATTTTAGTTTCATACTCTGACATATCAATGTCAATTTATAAAAATGATATAAAATCATGCCGATATAAACAAGGTCGACTTATCTCAAGTCTTCCTTATGATGTATAAAACATCCATGTATAATTTCATGCATGTATTGCACTCACCTTGACACTTTATATCTTTCAAAATATTTGTGCCTCACTATTGTCCACAATATACCCTTTTTATACTTGACTTGCTTCAATTGCAAATCAACCATGATCTGTATAAATGACAAATTTATAACAATACATATGTTAGTATTTTACTAACATAAATACATTCCACCATATCTCCATACTATATTTGAAATTCATCATCTATCAAAATATTCAACTCTTAATAATTCCTTATAACATTGGAACCAACTTTTCCAATTTACCCAAAATGGTCTTCACCATTTTACCACTTAAATTCTTAATACCAATAATTCCAACATTGAAATTATTTCCATTCAAATGCTTTTACAAAAGCATAAATACATTTAAGTACCCCAACTATGCAATTGTTGTACTTAAATCACCAATCATTTCAATCTTCCCAAAATAATCAATTTCCAGCATAGTACATCAATTATACAATACTTACACAACAACCCATTAATTTTCCATAATTCAGACAACTCGCACTACCCTTAAAGAATCATTATTCTGTATTGATATAGACACTGGAATTAAATTATGTTTCTTCCGTTAAAAACTAGACTAAAATAAGAATCTATCCATATAAAGAACTCCTTCTAATTCATTCTGTACAATTTATGGTGAATTTTCAAAGTTCGCCAACAGAATATGTTTTGTACAGAATTCTGCTGTCCGACTTTTCTGACCTTTCCTCAGTTAAAAATTCATATATATATTTGTATACAACTTGAAATTGATCCCAGTTTGTTTTAAACAAAAATAAATCCATATATGAACACAATATATACAAATAACCCCCAAATTATTTTTTATATATTTTCTGGTGAATTTTCGAACCTACTGCCAGAATCAAAATCCAAACTGTTTTCTTTAACTTCATCCTTAGGTTCTTCATCATTTCTTACAACCAATTCTTTAAAATCACTTAACTCTTCAAAACCCATAAAACACAAGAATTAAAATCCCCTTCATCAACTCAAGATAAATTTGAACATGAAACCCTAGTAATATTCATGTCAAAATGTAGAGAATTGAAAGTAGAATATTTTTCCTAATCACTCTTAGTCTAATTCTCAAGAATTAGCTTCAAAATTAAAACTAAAGATTCTTACCTTCAAGATTGGAGCTTCCGGCCCTTTGATGAAGAAGAAGCTGAATTTCTCCACTGTATTTGATATTCTAATGATATAATATCTAACACATGCTTAATACATATATTATAATAGAATATTTTATTCCATTTAATAGAAAATTTCACTTTTGCCCTTAATGCATTTCCATATTCACCATATAACCTAGCAATCTGATCGATACCATATTTCAAAGTCAAACATAATTTATTTTGTCTTTGACTTCCGAAATTCACCTTGAATTTTCAAATCTTGCGTTTTAGTCACTAAATTCCACTGTTTTCGGTTAAATCTGAAAATTTACACCTTTCCAGAAAAAATTTCTCTGATCCAAAATATTAAAATAATATTTTCAACCATCTTATAACATCCTTCAAATTTTCGTAAAATTCAAACTCGATCCGAATTACCGATTCCTTATCGGCTTTAACCCTTTCTAGTTTTTCTTTACTAAAACTCCAAATCCAAAAATATGATTTCTATAAAACTCCACTCTCAAGAGTAGACCATCTATTTATGGAATAAAATTCTTTTTAGGAAATTATCACTTAATTCCCTAAACTTTTTTCCCCAAATTTCTACTTTGACAATCAAACTTTCAAAATTTACATTTTGGTCATCATCTAGATTTTTGGGGTATTATAGAACCGATTCCCCCGCAAGGGGGGTACCGATTCCCCCCTGAATGGTTTAGCTCCGAGAAATTCCAGTATGCTTGGAGGGAACCGATTCCCCCCAGGGGTATCGATTCCCTCCACTGTTCAACGGTCGAATATTTGAATTTTACACTTAGGGAACCGATTCCCCATGAGAGGGTACCGATTCCCCCCACGCTCCAAGTAGAAATATTAATTGTTTTCACACTTAAACGGCTCCAATAACTTCATTAATAATCCCCAACGTTCAGAAGTGATTCATGGTGTATTTAAACAAGCTTAAAAGCCATTGATAAAAAACAAGAAACATCAAGCAACTAGAATCAAGAGAGAATCAAAGACAAAGAATCAAACCTCAAGTTTGAGCATTTCAAGCCTATTTTTCATTCAATATTCATTTTGCTTTCAAGAACACTTATTGTGCACAATTGTATTTATTCTTGACTGTTCTTTCTTTGTTCTAGAATTGTGCAAACATATTTGCCTTGTGAGGTTTGTCTTGTAAGTTTGCAAATTTGTAATCTTCTCTTTGAGAAAAGAGTGTTCTCAAGAATTGGGGTATATTCTTGAGGGAGTTGTAAGGTTATCTCTTTGGCCTCAAAAGAAAGAACAAATTAGTGAATTTGTTGGAAAATCCTTAGTGTGGATAGCTAAGGTAGTGGACGTAGACTTTGGTTGATAAGGTCGAACCACTCTAAATCGCTATGCAATTACTTTCAATTTTCTACAAAAGCTTCCACAAAATTTTAATTGCCAATTCACCCCCTCTTGGCCGATTCTGTCAATCGATTAACTCAACATACTCAATAAAAATAAAAACCATAATAACTATTTAATGAAACCTTAGGTAATTTTTGACATTATGTCATAAAAAATTAGAGTAAAGTATATAAATGGTCTCCCAACTATAGGTATTACTTTGTTGGGTTTCAATACTATTAAAAGTTACAAAATGGTCCATTGACTAGAGGGTACTAGTTGTTGAATCCCTCGACCATTAAAAGTTACAAAATGATCACCAGACTATTCATATGTTCTAAACTTATCATTTCCTGTTAAAAAATTGACTATCGTCTAAGTTGGACATTAAACTTTTGATTGAGATGTGATAAAATTATATTTTAATGATGTCTATTTGCACCAATGTTACTTTCAAGAATTGGCTTGACAACATAATGTTTCAAGCACTAGCTTGACGATATAATATAAACGAAGAGTCTATCCAAATATACAACTCAAACGATCTTGAGATTAGATTTTACCATAGCCCTGCCAATACACTGACGTCAAACTCAAACAACTATAAATTTTTAATAAAAAAATGATGAGTTTTGAATATTAATAATCATGTGACTATTTTATAACTTTTAATAGTTGAAAGACTATACAAAACATCTTATAATTAAAGTGTCTTTTTATAATTATCAATAGTTGAAGACTCGACAAAAACAAACATACTATAATAATGTCATTTTATATACTTTACGCTAAAAAAAATTTAGGTACAACTTTAATGAAATAGAAATGGATTATAAAATCACCTTTTTCTCACCTTTCGTCTTTAGCCATTCACCAAACACCAACAGCACAAAATAATATAAAATCAAAGCAAAATATAACCAACGAAGGCCATTGTTGTCATCAATCAATCCAAAACCCCACCAAAGAAACTAGATAGATAGAAAAGGGCTAAAATAGAACACCCAATTACGCTCGTTTCCTCTCGATCAACAAAAACCAATGGCCTCCTTATCCCTCCACCTCTCCTCCCTCCACCACACCTCCACCACCGCTTTTGTCCCACGCGCCACCCCTGTCAACCTACGGACCCGAACCCAGAAAGCATTCTCCATCAAGTCCCAATCTGCTCCTGTCCTTTCCCAAGATGATCTCAAAAAGCTTGCAGCTGACAAAGCGGTTGAGTCAGTCAAGTCAGGCATGGTCCTAGGCCTCGGAACAGGCTCAACGGCATCTTTTGTGGTTGACAAACTGGGTCAACTACTATCAGCCGGTCAACTTTCCAACATCGTTGGGATTCCAACCTCAAAAAGAACCCAAGAACAAGCTGCATCGCTCAATATCCCCTTATCCACCCTTGACTTGCACCCCCATATCGATCTTGCCATCGATGGCGCCGATGAAGTCGACCCCAACCTCGACTTAGTTAAAGGCCGTGGGGGTGCACTTCTGCGTGAGAAAATGGTTGAAGCGGCTTCTTCATCTTTCATTGTAGTGGCTGACGATAGTAAGATTGTTTCGGGGCTTGGAGGGAGTGGTTTGGCTATGCCGGTTGAAGTCGTGCAGTTTTGCTGGAAATATAACTTGGTGAGACTTGAAGGGTTGTTTAAAGAGTTAGGATGTGAAGCCAAATTGAGGTTAGCTGGGGATGGTAGTGAAAAGCCTTATGTCACTGATAATGGGAATTATATTGTGGATTTGTATTTCAAGAATCCAATTAAAGATGGGTTCGCAGCTGGGAAAGAGATTTCTTCCATGGAAGGTGTAGTGGAACATGGGTTGTTTTTGGGGATGGCTACCTCTGTTATTATTGCTGGGAAGACCGGTGTGGAAATTATGACCAAGTGATTGATGAAAAAAGTGGGGCAGTTTTCATTGTTGTTATTTGACCTTTGAGGTGGAATTTATTGCCAATGTTTTGGATTTTGATGCTGTGTAGAGTAATTGAACAATGTGGAATAGTTTGGGATTTTGAAATAAAATTGATGAATTGATCAATGATATCTAGTACTTTTGTCCTTTCTATGATCTATCTAGTTTCCATGTTCTTTTGGTTAGTTTTGAAGTTCTTGGGGAATTTGTTGCAAAGATATGGATTTCGATAATGTCTTAGACTAATTGTAGAATGTGTAATAATTTAGATTTGGAGATATCCTGAGTTGCTCTATATGCTTGCATGGATTTTGGTATGGACTGCTTTGGTTTTCATGTTAAACTACAGATGTTTGTTAATTTGTTTTCAAAGCTCCTATGTATAGAAGTAATGCAAGTGCACTTTTTAGCTTCATGACTAATGTTGTTTCATAGTGCCTGCCTTTTTCCCGTTTCCGTCTGTCGTTGAACATTGTAGAAATGAAAAAGGGTTGAACATGAAAGCAGCCATATGAACCAAATAGCTCTTGTAACAAGACATTTCAGAGTGAATCCCTTAGCATCATCCTGAGATATGTTGGTGGTGCCTGCATTTCCAGTTTCCATTAGTCATCAATCATTGTAAAACCGTAATAAAAGTAACCAAAGCATTGAACTTGAAATAAGCCATAAGAAACCATTAGTGTATATAACATGAGGTTTCCAGGGTGAATCCTTAAGCATCATGCCTAAGATTATTTGATAGTGCCTGCCTTTCTGGTTACCATTAGTCATCCTACGTTGTAGAACTGAAAATAGAAGCAATGAGTTTAGAGCGTCTGTATGAACCCAGTAGCTTATAACAGGCTATTAGTGGATACGTTTCTTGTCAGTAATCCAATTTTGTAGAACTGAAATAGAAGAAAGTGAAAGTAGAAGAAAGTGAAAGTAGACATATGAACTCAATAGCATATAAGGTTCCTTGTATTACTATAAAATCAAGATATCGATGCACACTTTAGGAATTACAGTCTTAACAAAAGTGAGAGATTAAGGTGCATCAAATAAGGGAACTAGGTAAGTCCTATCAGAGTAAAGGTAGTCACTTACGGAATACAAGAATATATTAGCTTCTTATTATGAGGTTACATTACCTAGCGGGTGCATACATTATAGGTTCAAGAGCAAATAAGTTTAACGTCAACAGTATTTGAATATTCTAACAGTTTTTAATGTTCAACTTCAATATTTCTATAGTTATACTTATTTGTTTCAAAATTACATGTACAAGGACCAAAATACTTATTTGAATATTAAAGAAACCAATTTGGAAGAGGAATAGGCTGACTGAGGTAACTAAAATTTAGGTCAAACATTAGGGGTATCAAAGACTGGAGCTTTTCAAGTTATTATCTAATTTGTTAGAGGCTGATGCTTGGGGAGAAGACGTGAGAGATGTCATCATAAGATCACCTTTTATTGAAATGGATGCTTTCAAGCACTATGATCCTGCTGCTACTCAACTCATTTTTTTATCCATTTCAAATTAGATCTCTGGAAAAAGTTATTTTTAGTCATAAAATATAATTACACACGATTAAATAAGATATATTAATTAGAAATTACAAAAACTAAAATTCATATATAATTCCTTCAATTCTCAACCCTCCCTATAAGGATAGGGTTGAAACACTTGTTTTTATCCGAGTGTTTTATTATTATTATTATTATTATTATTTAGTACTATTATTATTATTTAGTACTATTATTATTTAATTTCTACATGCCCAAATACAAAACTTACCCAAGTCGTCCAATTACAACCAGTCCACCAACCGAGTCCCAATGTTATAATGCAGCAAGCTCACCCAGACCCAACAATAATCCAAGAAAAAACCGACCCAAACCCTAATCAACCCTAACCCTAACCCTAAACTCCACTCCCGCCGCAGCCAGTCTTCAACAGTTGTCGCGCCGCCGTCACTGCCAGCTGGAGCTCCGCATTGCCGTTACCTCCGCCAGTGATCCCTGTTACATCGTCATCAAATCAACCAAATCATATCAAAATCTAATAAAATAACAAAGAAAATGAAAAAAAGGGATTAAAATCTCGTAAAATCGAGAACCCGTACCAGACCAATCCTAGAGAAACCGAGTGTCATACCCTCTACCCTAGTCTCTTGCAACTTCCAACAACCGAATGAAGGCTTCACCAAACACATAAAAAAGCAACCATAAAAAGGATTTGAAACACAAGAAAAAAGGGGATCCGAATTGTAGTCACTCATTTTCGTATGAGGTTTTATTTAGTATATATATAGTATATAATGTATAGTTTTTTTATAAAATTTTGAAAACATATATATATATATATATAATAGTTTTTAAAAATATTTTGAAAATATATATAATATATAGTTTTAGAAAACATTTTAAAAAAATATATATAATAAATAGTTTTTGAAAACATTTTGAAAATATATATAATATATAGTTTTTGAAAATATTTTAAATATATATATATATATATATATTATAGTTTTTAAATATATATATATATTATATAGTTTTTAAATATATATATATTATACTATAGTATTATATATTATTTACTATATTTTATTCATTTTCATTTTCATTTTCTATTTTATTTATTTATTTATTTTTCTTTTTCTTTCTTTGGTCCAAAATTCAAGGTTCAAGTCTAACAGTCCAAGAGGCCCAGCAGAGAGCTCAATCAGGCGGGCAAGCCTGACCTGGCCAAGGACCCAGCAAACCAACCCGACCCTAGTTCGCCTGACCCAACAAACTAGGGTTTTCAACTTAAGCAAAAGCGTTGCATGATTATCAGCCAAGCATCAATCGAACGACCCAAATCACATATAAGCTAGGGTTTATAAAACCCTAAAAATGTTATCATATGTCACATGATCCTGAGCCGTTGAATTTGCATCCAATCCAACAGCTCAAAACAGACCACCGAGCAAAGTGGAGTTTGACCGAAGAAACCATCCCCTAGTGGGAAACAATTTTTCTAGCAACAACAACAATCAACCCAACAAAGTAGTTTCATAGGATTCAAAAACAATCAAAAGCATGTATTTCTATCCTAATAAAACTCTAAAACTGAATTAAAAATGGACCCTTAATGCTATAAATCCCTACAAAAACGAAAGTAAGATCGAAGCAAGAGAGCACTTGTAACATTTGAAATAAAGACATAAATAAACAAGGTATTTTTTACCCTTTTTGATTGGTTTATGTTTTTTTTGTTTGGGGTTTGTTCTGGTTTTAATTCAGATTTTAAAAAAAGAAGCCAAGGATCGAAAAGGGATTTTTTTTGGAAGACCTTTTTCAGATCTAGTCTTCCCCGAGGCTTTTTTGCGAAAACAAATAAGATATTTGAAAAGAGAAATGAAAAAACTTTCGAACGGTGTAAAAAGATGTGGGTTTCACCACCGATGAATGGCGATCGTCGAGGCGAGCACGACCGGAATCTAGGTTGCCATGAATTCCGATTGAATGTTCTTCGTTGGATGAAGAACATTTCAGAGAAAATAAGGGGCCTTGTTTTGATCGGTTTTGGGGGAAGAGAGAAAAATGAATTTTGTTTATGAACTTGGGCTTTTATAGTTGACCCGAAAACCCTACCGGATCCCCTAAGGATCCGCGTGTTTTCGAGCGGGTTGGGTCAAATTATTTTTAAAATTTATTTTGTTCCTTAAATTTGATTTTAATTCATGTTGAAAACATTTTGATGTTTCGATATAACAAATAAAGTGTTAATGAATTTTTAAGATTTTATATTCGATTTAAATATAATATTCGATTCAATTAATCGAATATCACAAATATTACTCCAAGTTTTCAAATATCAATTTTACTCCTTACTTAAATGAAAAATTGTGTTTCACTCTTAAAATATTTTTGAAATAATTTTTACAAAGTATTTCGAACCATAATTGAGTCAAAATTGAGTTTTTAATAGGGAAGTATCAATACCTCTTTAACGAGTATCGATACCCCTCAAACATCGAATGCAATAGAGGTACTAAGACCCTAGAGGGTATCAACACCCCTTTATATAGTAGTACCGATACCTAGCCAAAAGGTACCGATACCTCTAATTTGATTTTGACTCCGAGAAATAACAGAATGCAAAATATGTACCGATACTATGACAGGTATCGATACCTATTTACATAGTAGTATCGATACCCCCTTTAGAGGTACCGATACCATTGGTTTTGTAATGGTCAAACTATTTGAATTTTATACAGGTAGTATCGATACCCCTATGAAGGAGTACCGATACCCATACACTCCCAACAACTTTTTGAAGTGGATTTCGCACCACAACGGCTCTATTGACTCCACCAAGATTTCCAACGTTCAGAATTCATTTGAGGAGTATTTAAACAAGTTTTGAAGCCATTGGTGATCAAGAATAACACAAGAATTGAGATAGAAACAAGAGAGCAAGCATCAAACCTCAAGTTTGAGCAATTCAAGCCAAAATCCTTTCAATATTCATTTTTCTTTCAAGAACACACTTTGTGCTCAGTTTTATTTATCTTTGAGTGTTCTTTCTTTGTTCTAGAATTGTGCAAATATTCTACATTGTGAATTTTTTCTGTAAGTTTGCAAAAATTGTAAGTTTCTCTTTGAGAGAGAGTGTTCTCAAGAATTTGAGGTATAATTCTTGAGGGAGTTGTAAGGTTACTCTTTATCCTCAAAATAAAGACAAATTAGTGAATTTGTGGAAAATCATTAGTGTGGACAGCTAAGGTAGTGGACGTAGAATTTAGTTGAGAAAGGAAAAACCACTATAAATCGCTATGGAAATATTTTTAATTTTCTATCAAAGGTTCCACTAAACTTTTAATTGCCAATTCACCCCCTCTTGGTCGATTCATCTAATCGATTAACTCAACAATTTGTATCAGAGCTACACTCATTTGAAGGTTTTACCACCTCTTGAGTAGATTCGGGAAGAGTTCAATCGATAATCAAGTCATCAATGGCCTCTACATCAAACTTTGACTTCATTCTTGATTCTCAGCCCGTCAACAAGCCTCTTTTCTTCAATAGAGCTAATTATGCCTATTGGAAGAATAGGATGAAGTTCTTTATTCAAGCTAGTGACATGGG